GTATGATTAGAATAAAAGGGTGCCCCATACAAAATTTAGCTGTTGATATTTTAAAGACCACCCTAACATACACACATACATATAGTAGTTATATAAAAAAAAAAAGAAAAAATCCAGCTGTTAAACTCCTGTAAAAACAAATACATATGTATATTATAATATCATTGCATACATCTAGGCGCCTAACAATAAAAGAAACAGCTACAAGGAAAGCAACAAGCAACTAATCAGTAAGAATTCTATGCGTACGCAACGTACAAAACAAACTAAGAATAATTAAATATTATTGTAATAAATATTTAAAATACAAAGTGAACTACTAAATTAATACAAAAATGTAAAGCAAAGTGTAATTTAGTTAATAAAAATATTGTTTATTCGTGCATGATTGATTGTTTGATTGACTGCTTGTTCAAAAAGAAAAATTAAAACAAATTTAGTTTGTGCTGTAATATATGTATGTATGTAGCTTCTTTAATTTAAATACATTGCCTACTTCCAGGCGACTAGGCAAGAACAAGGCGAAATTAAAATTTGTACATTACATATTAAGCGATTAGTTGAAGCTGACGGTGTATAAAGGAAACATACATACACACGTACATATGTACATATAATTACTTTACATACAGACTTGTTACACCGTTAAAGCTTTTAATTTGTAAAAAATACATATTCACATGTATAGTATATATAACTTCATAAGTGAAAGCCAGTTTGCAATGCAAAATATCTACGAACAAAACGAACGAATTCTGAACGCGCAATGCGTAAAGTGAAATGAAATATGTATGTATGTATGTAGTAGTTAATAAGACAAACATACATACATGCAAACATACATACATATTTGTATAGTATTTAGTAAATATGTATACAAAAGCTCAGAAGCAAGTGAAAGCTAAAAAGTATGCCCGCAAATGAATTAAAGCTGTTAAAAGAAGAAATCTTATGTATAGACAGGCGCGTACTAAATACAAACATACATATGTATGTACATAGTTACGTATGGAAGTAAAATTTATGTACGTACAATAAAAAAAAATTACATATATTACCACTTATTATTATGATTATGGTTATTATTAAATAATATAATTATTATAGAATATAAAAATAATAATAAATAAATGGTTTTGATTATTAATTATGCATACTGTACTGATAGTGAGAGTGAAGTAAGAAATATGAAGAAAATGTGAAATAAAATGTAATTCTTATTATCAAAAAAATCGCATGTATTTATATAACTTTATTTTATTTAGAAAGAATAGATGTGTGAATGAATTGTAAGAACAAATGAGTTCGAAAGGCTTTTTCTGGGCCGAGTTCAACACAGCAGGCCAGTCGTTTCTCTTCTCTGCCAACTGACGCGAATTGGGAATGCCAAATGAAGCCCAGTCCTTCTCTACCTGATCTTTCCAACCCAGAGTACACTCACCCCGTTCCTCTGCTACCACCAACGGC